AAAATATGCACTAAAAGTTCGGAAATATGCATTTATATGCCCTTACATTTTTAAATTATGCACTCAAGCAGTATGCAAAAAAAAAATAATCATGAACAAATTTTAAAATAATAAGAATAATTAATAAGTCCATAAATGTTAAAAGTATTTTATTCCTTTTAATTTTTATGTATTTAACTGTCAAAATTAATCAAATAAGAAATAAAATTAATACTTGTGAAGTTCAAATAGCTTTGTCATCTATATAAATCGTAATTTATTAGGTAGTCATTTTTTGTCTAATTTGTGTACATCCTTATCCAGCACCTACAATGAAAATATTTGGATCTGTATATCTGTAATATCTGTATATTTCATCTGTCTTTGAAACAATATATAACGAACCTTCTATTCAATTTTTAATTCTGAAATGAAAAAAAAAATGTGATTTATTCTGAAAATCGTGAGCACTGAACAGTGTTTAGTGTCAATGTTGTATTTATAGAATAAAATAAAATTAAACATTTTATAAACACTTATAACTTAATGTAGGTATTAATAACTATTTAAATAGATTTTATTAATCTATATATTGTGTTGGCATGTTTCAACTACTTTGAAGTCATAATAATACCAATGAAAGTCCATAAAAGTGTAACTACACAATTAAAAAATGGTTTATTTTTTTTTATTGTACCTAGGTATTAACAAATAATAATACAAGAGGACAAGGAACCTAATTTGTTTTAACTTGTTAAATTAAATTAATATACAAATATTGAAATATTCTAAAATGTAAGTTAAATTCAAAGTTAAGAGTTATTCACTTTTCTTTTTTTAAATTAAAGTAACTTAACTTAGTTAAAAATTAAAAATACTATACTTAATGCTCTGAAAATAGAATAATATAATATAGTATAGGTACATAATATAAATTATATAGGTCTTATAATTTAAAAACATTTATTACAGTATTAATTGCCTGTAGGTACTTTCATATTCTAGTACAGGGGTCTCCAAATTACGGCCCGCGGGCCGGATACGGCCCGCGAACAAGTTTTAACCGGCCCGTGGCCCGCATAGGACGCATAGGTAAATATAGACAAAAAAATTATTTCAAAAATGTATTTATATTTTATATTATATTATAATATGTATACCTATTTATTTTTATTTAAATATATTGTAAAGTAAACAATATTCTATACAAAAATATAAAGTAAACATATTATTTATATAGGTAGCTGGTACTTATATTATCATAAAGTTAAAAATTATATGTGTTAATAAACTTTTGGCCCGCTAAGAGCATTTGATTTTTTTTGTGGCCCTTGAATAAAAATTTTGGAGACCCCTGTTCTAGTATATAGGTACTAAACTTTTTTTAACAATGCAATTATTATAAAAGTCATAAAAATCGTGATTAATTATTATTGTGCGTGCCTAAGTTTGGTATTTATTTAGTTTTTGTATCATTGTTGAAAATACCGAAAGTTAAAACCATCGTTTTCCTATCGGTCACCTAACGTGACTGTAAAAATAAATAATAATCATTTTTTTAAGGTATTATTGTGTTAAAAAGGTTTTTTGGATATTTTTTGATATTTTTATGGAATTATTATATCAAAGCCATACTTATCACCATAGGCGTGCGCAGCCTCCGGTTTCAGGGGCAGCAAGAGATTAATTCGGCCCATTTTTCAAATTCGCCATTAAAACCAGCCCATAGTTTTACTTTTTTACTATTGGATATCAAAATTAAAATTGTATTGGTTATTTGTTTTTTTGGATAAAAGGTTGTACCGTAAGGTACTAAGCTACTAAATGTGTACTTTTCTAGTTTTCTATAAGCCCATATAAAATATTTATCTATAGTTTATCAAAACAAAAAAAAATCCTTTGTGGAAATATAATTTTACCGAGGCCCATCATTTAATATTTGCCGGCCCCGGTGGCCCCAAAGAAAGTCCAGGGGCAGCATATGCTGCCTCTGCTGCCCCCGTGCGCACGCCTATGCTTATCACCCTATTTACAGTAAACACTAAACATACTACTACACTTTATTTTCACGTTTCACATATTTTGTATAAATTTGTATTTGTAATTTATTTACCTACCTAGGTACGATAACTTGATTAGTATTTTGGAAACCAGCAATACCTAGTGAAAAACACTTCGACAGTACAATTTGGTAGGTACCTATTTCATGAATAATTTTTGATACTTCCAATTATTAATATTTTTTTTTATTATTGACAAATACAATTTATTTAAAATTATAATGGGGCTTATACCTATTAGCGGAAAAAATTAACATGAAATACAACAATAAAGCTAATAATTTACTCATAATAGTACCTAAGTTATCGTGGGGACAAATTAACGCGTTAATTAATATATACCAACTAATAGTGAAAAGTACCTAGGTAACTATTAGATAAGGAACTCCCTATAGTTAACTATAATATATTTAACTCTTCAATGCCCATCCCTGTACATGGCTAAAGGTTCTGCAGTAGGTTGAAAAAAATATGTAATTATAGTGATTGATATTTACGAAAAACTTTCGTTTCTAGCTGATAGCACTGAAATAGTACCTATGTATGTGATAATGGATCTTATACACGTTTAGTTTTGCCGGTGGACATTTAGGTACCTCAGTTATTAATTCCAACTATTCATGAAGAACAACGGGGATAAATAAGCGGACAAATATTGTTGTAGAGCACAACATTGAATTAATATTCGATTGAGATATTTTTAAAACCAAATCACAATTCTCGTACATAATTTGTTAACTATCAGTAAAAATTGTTCGAAAAATATGACTCGTAGACCGTAGATTATCGATTACTGAAGGACCTTTAAATTGGTTATAAGTGTTATAACTTATATTAAACGCGATTATGTAATATTATGTAGGTACATACAGGGTGGTCCATTTAAGCACCTACACTCATTATTTAGACAATATTTTTTAACTTTTTTAAAAATAATTTTTTTAGGTAAGTACATAACTTGATGTAGTTTCAAAAGAATATATTTTCTGAAAAATATTTTTTTTTATCGTTATGATTTTTAGGTATTTTTATTTATAGTATTTGAAAACAACATATTAATTTCATATTCCTAAGCAGAATATTTTTTCGCAGTATTTCAATTTGTAAAGATAAAGTTTTGGACAATATTGCCCACTACTCTACTAATCTAAATTTTTAATACTTTTAAATTATAACTAATGAAATACTGAAATACAGTCGTTGCCAGATAAATTGAGACGGCGGCGGCGGTCCTTTGTAGTATGTGTAGACCATAGATTCTTAACCTTTTCTGGACCATGGACCCCTTTGAAGTATAAAACATAATCACGGACCCCCCCCCCCCCCAAAAAAAAAAATAAAAATTATAAAAAATATATAAATAAATAAATTGATAACATTTTTATTTTAATATTTAATTTTGTTGAATGAAAATCTAAGACTTAAATCTACATTCAATTATTGTGAATTATCACTTTTTCTTATAGCCAAAAACCAATTTTAATATGACATTTGCTGTTGTTTTGATTGCAATATTGCCTTGAAATCTGGGACCGTATTTGAAAAGAACAACACGCATATCGTCCTTAATGTCCAATCGATTTCTTGCTTTATTTTAATTGTAACCATTGTAGAAAATCCAGACTCACAGAGATAGGTGGTAAGGAAATGGAATCAAAAATGTCATTGCCATGGATACAGCTCGCTGATAAGCCTTCGTCAACGAACATCAAATTTCGATTAAATTATTTGTTTGAAAATCGTGGAGTGCCATTTCTTTTGATCTTAAATCAATTAACTAATTTTTGGTAAAAAAAAAATCCAGAAAAGTCGGGTTTTCACCTCGGAGGGGGGGCTGGGGAAATGGCCAAAACGGTCCGACGTTATTTCGGGGGTTAAGGGTTGCTCGAAAAATTTCCGTTTTTGTTCACACAATTCACACTAACGGCGCACTAATTTTGGTAAAAAAAAATCCAGAAAAGTCGGGTTTTCACCTCAGAGGGGGGCTGGGGAAATGGCCAAAACGGTCAGACGTTATTTCGGGGGTTAAGGGTTGCTCGAAAAATTTCCGTTTTTGTCACACAATTCACACTATGGCGCACTAATTTTGGTAAAAAAAAAATCTTGAAAATTCGATTAATTACACTTAGGGGGGGCCAACGAACATTTCACCAGCCCCCCCAAAGTTTTTTTGAATTTGTCCTAAATGCTTAATCGCACAAATTCTGAAAATGTTCGCACAAATTCCACACTAATTAATAGTGAAGAAAAAACTATGATTTTGAAACTTGGGGGGGCTGGTGAAATGTACTTTTAATTCGTCTTTAACGAGGTCTGAATCATTAATTGTATTTAATTCCACTAGAAAAGTATTGCGTATCATCATGTTTCTGATTTCGAAAATGTAGAATCGAAATAATTGAATGAAATTTAAACCAAATGAATTTTCAAGCATAACAAGATTGTTGCTTAGTGGCAGAATGCGGGCAAGACATTATTAATGTTATCTTAAAAACGCTATCGAAACAAATTTATTTATGGGTTATCTAAAAAAACTCACAGCCATCCCATAGACCCCCAAGGGGTCCATGGCTTATCCGCGAGCTGTATCCATGGCAATGACATTTTTGATTCCATTTCCTACCACCTATCTCTGTGAGTCTGGATTTTCTACAATGGTCAAAATTAAGATAAAGCAAGAAATCGATTGGACATTAAGGACGATATGCGTGTTGTTCTTTTCAAATACGGTCCCAGATTTCAAGGCAATATTGCAATCCAAACAACAACAAATGTCATATTAAAATTGGTTTTTGGCTATAAGAAAAAGTGATAATTCACTTCACAATAATTGAATGTAGATTTAAGTCTTAGAGTTTGTCATTCAACAAAAATTAAATATTAAAATAAAATGTTATTAATTTATTTATTTATATATTTTTATAATTTTTTATTTTTTTTTTGGGGGGGGGGGGTCCGTGATTATGTTTTATACTTCAAAAGGGGTCCATGGTCCAGAAAAGGTCTCAAGTTGGTCATGAAAAAATAATTACCTAATAAAAAATCCTTTCTGTCGTTAGTTGATCTCCATTCGTTCTCAAGAATAAGTTCCGATAACTTTGTAGGTAATTTTGGTACCAATTTCATTCGCTTTCTGTATGATGAAGATCTGACACTAGTATATACAGGAACAGCATCTTCTACTTCTGATGTAGTGCAACCTTTTATTCCTGAAGAAACAAGGGATCGTCTCACTTCGTGGAAATTCTGAGGCACAGATTTTGTTGGATTTGAAACCACTTTTTCCTAAATATATAATAATTCGTTTTTTATGTGATCTACATACTAATTATATATGTTACACGCTTGATATATGATTTATTATTATAATATAAATAGAAAAATATAATAATATTTATAATATTTAATATTTATACTATTTAAAAATTTGGCGCCCGGGGCATATATTTATTATATTAAAAATCTTTAAAATTTAATTAATTAAGTTTAATTTTTAATACAAGGTTGTTAAAGTTATCGTAGTAAAAAAAAATTCGTTATTCACATACAATCAAATTTAGGACCAGTAGTTCATGAGTTTACGTATTTAAAGTTTAGACAAGCGGAGTAGTGGACAAACATTTTGCGGGGTACCCCGTACCACTCCACTCCGCTTGAATAAACTATAAATACGTATAACTCATAAACTACTCTCCTCAAATTCGATTTATGTATCAAAATATCAGAAAATTATTCTGCTTTGAAGATGAAATTAAAACTCTATGTTGTCATTCAAAAAAGTAAAAAACTAAAAAAAATATAGGGGATAAATAATATTTAAAAATATAATTTTTTAATAAAAACGTAGTATTTTTAACGACTTAAAACTATGTAAAAAATTGTTTTCAAAAACACGAATACTTTTTGAAATAATGAGTGTTTTACGCTTAATCAATCACACTGTATTATTTATATATTAACGCAATATATATACGTATACTTATAATATATACAAACTATAATATAATATATAAACAAACTGAAGATTTATTTTACCTTTAGAGTTTCTCGAAATCCACGTCGTGCCAATTCAGCTCCATGCGTCGGGTGATGATGAATTTTGGATATTATTGCAGTCGTTTGCGATCTTAATATTGCTCGTCCTCCACAGTTATCAATACACTTATAATATTCATTATTTCCATTATTTCGGTCAATCCTATGTATATAATTATCTACAACTAATAGCGGTTTGCCGCGGTTTGAATTAATTGTATACCAAGACATATTAAAATACACTTTTAAAATACAACACTTAAATAACTAGTACGAGTGGCAAATGTGACTGTAGATTATAAAGAGAGTGACTGTGAGTAAACTCATCATCATTATATGTGTAACATTTTACATTTGTAGATGTAAGTTTTTATTACTATTGTCACTTTATCAGCGATAAGATTACGGAACGATGTTTCCGCGACGATGTCACCTGAAATAGCTTTCTTCCCACTTTAATAATACATCAATTATAGCGAAAAGCGACAGAAAAAAGTGAATTTTTGAATTTTAGAGTTAGAAATATTAAAAACTTATTTAACCACTTTTTGTCACAATATATTAGGAACCTTGTATTAATTTTTTAGTCTTTATGACCTAACAAATACAATTTTATTTTAATTTTATTTTAAATTTTTCGGCAAAATGGGATTCGAAAAAATAGTATTCGGCCAAATGGGATTTTATATTAATCCGTATACAACTGTTTTTTTTGTCGGTAAAGTAGGATTCGGCGAAATAGGATTCGGCGAAATGGGATGATACCACTTCAAATGGGTCCATGGCCCAGAAAAGGTTAAGAATCTATGCTATAGGTAGTTAATATGTAATTTGAAAATTTTTCTCATCATAAACGATATACCTAATTACTGTTTCATTTAAATTTAAAATTCAAAATGTAGTGTTAAATATTTCATTTCATTTTTTTTATAAGTATGATGAAAACGAAAAATAATAATTTATAAAAAAAAAAAAAAAAAATAATAAAAATAAAAATACTAAATACGGACATTCAAAGTTAATAGTCATCCACACATGTGTACATTAATGTTGTACCTCGCCATAAAGTAGGTAACTAATCTTAAAATACGCAATAATGCAATATATCCATTTAAGTACCTATTTACTAAAATATTGAATGCATATCGCTAACTCAAAACTCGTATTCACATACTCGCTAGTCAATACCCACGTAAGGTGAATCCAAATATCGTCTTCAAGCTCACATGCAAAAAATAATTCGTATACACAAAAGTTATGCCAAGGGTTAATACATACGATGTACCCAAATAAATACGCATTAAAAAAAAAAAACTTTGCTACGGTTTGAGGTACCAAACACGAATTACTCAGGTAAAAATCCAAATTCAGTGCACCACACACAAATTGTTGAGTAAAAAAAACGTGTATATATAACACACACACACAAAGGTCTTAGAGTTATGAGCCATGAGTTGGGCGCCTCTTTTTGTCGTATAATACGTCGATGACAAACGTACACAAATAAACGAACATTAATAATAAGCACTTTTATTAAAACTTTTACGTCCAGTGGCTCTAACACTTTTGGTCAGTGGTAGTCGAGTCACACGACCACCTCCAACTGACTATCTATCTGTCTTCCCATATTACTATACTCTGTTCCATCTAAGAGTGAACCGCTTTCACGCACGCAGACTGAGCCGCCGAACAGTGCCGACCCCTCATGCGATGACTATGCTTTCTGTGATTGGCGGACAGTGATCAAGACGTGTCAAGACTCTCACCGATGTCCGGATTGTGGTGGGAATGTTTTGGTTAGCCGAGTGGTTCACTCTTAGATGGAACACAGTATATCAATATTACAATCGAAGCACTATTGGTAGTATCGATATTAAGTTTAACCTAGTTGCATTATATTTACTGACTATGCTTAAAATTATACTAATTGTTATTGTATTACATAATAATTGATATATTATCCTAATTTGGTGGAATGCATAATTGGTTCTATGTTGTTACTTAGCTTATTGAGTATTGTATGATTTGATTTGTTTTGGTATTTTACCTGTTACATATGAATGTTTACTTAACCTAGTTAACAATATTTTTATATATTATGCATGATACAACAATTTATATAAAAATAAAGAGAGACAATTAATTACTTACAGTAACATCCATATGATATATATATGTTTGTACCGTGCAAATTGTACTTAATCATCTGATTGACGCTGCTTGGCTCTGCCATGTGTGACACTGTGACCCACTTACGCTGACTGTCAATGTCGAGGTTAAAGGACGGCGGCGGCGGTGGCTGTGACTGCTACGGCGACGACTGTTGTATTTTGATTTTTGACTTAGCGTCTCTTCAAGATGCTGACTACGAAAATCGCAAGTGCGACACACTGCTGCACATCCTCACTAGAATTTCAGTAAAGCGTCTCTGCGACTACTTTTGTAGCGTCACTTCTGCGTGTGTGTTCCGTGAGTGCGTTCTGCTGACTGTGTCCTCATTGGAATGATGTAATAGCGCTCCCTTTCGCGGAATAATTTACGACGCTAGTTTTGATGACGAGGATTAATATTAATAATATACTAATCGCACGTATGGTACGCACTAGTGCGTACTTATCTGAAGTAATATGACGTATACCTAATATATTAAATATTCTGTATATTGTAAATATTACTTATTTTGAGTTTTGATGTTTTTTTTTTTTTTTTTATTTGTGAATTCTTTATTTTTAATATAATTTGCTTCGACAACGAACACCGCTGCCACCAGTTGTGTTCCCTTTTCGGTTATGTCCGTTGTGGGTTTGTAGGTTCGTCTTCGATGTGGAAACAACTTTATTATTTTAAGATTGATTCCCGAAGGATTTATTAGTAATAAATAAATAGTCTTTGATTCACTTAACTAAATACTTTTATTGAATACGAATTCACATGAGTCCCGTGTGTAATATAAAATACGACTGCCGGCGAAGCTAATTCGGTATTTCGTTATTGCGTCGACGGACGTTGCCAAAAAGTGCTTACTGTGCTTATTGTGCTAATTAATAAGATATTATAAACAGGGGTTCGTAACATTATTACCGATCGTCCCTGCTCGCGTGGGACGTCTGACGGGTGACGGGACACACTTCCCGTTTGACCCAAGTGGCAGGGCTGCATTTAGTGGGGAGCACTGGCTACAACTGCTCTAGGCGCCAGTATTTTGGGGACTTCAAAATGTTGTCGTTTTAATTTTGTTCCCTTATAAATTATTAAAACTTTAAAAAAGGAAAAAAAAATGATAAACCAAAACCATAGTTTGATCTTGAGACATTCTGTGCTAAAATACATCTTAACAAAACCACTCCACCATACTCCTTGTAAAAATGCCAAGTATAAAAAAAAAAACGCTCTACAACTTGTGATATAATTTTAAAGGTAGCTAAGTCTTGGCTATGGTTTTTAAATACGGGTATAACATCATGTGGGTGAATGAAACCAGGCCCGTAGCCAGACCAAATTTTCAGGAGCGGCAAAGCAAATTTTTTTTTTTTTGGGGGGGGGAGCTTATATATAAATGTATTAAATATTATGCAATTTTTAATATTTACATTGACATCTCATAAATTAACACAACTATAATTTTCCATCTAATATCCATTTATAATAGAATATTTGTGGCATTTACAATGGAACATTGTTTTAAAGTTACAAAACGAATAATACTAAATAATAAAAATAAAACTTATATTAGAGTTTATATTAAAGTTATTATGCTATGGTATATTGTTCTATGCTATTAGTAAAAGGTTTATGATAATATTATGAGTGGCCTCTGAGTACCGTGACCCACACTCTTTACTCTACCTGATATCCATGGATTAGGTTGCCTATACTGTTTATTGTTGTTGAAATACCACGTTATTAACGAGCGTCTCGGGAGAAAAACCTAACCAATCAGAATCGTTCACTTTGTTACACATTTGTGAACTATGTGTGATAAATAATAAGTATACAATGATAATAAATAATAGAAAAAAATAGAAGCACATTTTTAAAGATAAATAGTAGTTATAGTACTATAGTACTAACTATACTAATTTAGTAAATGAAAAATATAAACAATTGTTGCAAAACTGGTATTGTATATTTTCCAAATAAATTTACAAAAAGTTATTCTGTCTCCAATCTCATTTTAGTACTCAACAAATCATACTGTTGTTTGGTTTTATGATTTTATAAATAATAAAAAATAAATAAATAATCATTATTGGTATAAATACTATTAAATATAATTAAGGGAAAAACCACAACATATTAAACATTTTAGGTTTTGTATTTTCAATGTAAATAAATATAACATATAAACACATAAATAATACAGTGACAGTGATTCATTTTTCATTTAATATTATACTTTACGTTTGTCAATTTGATTTTGATTATGTAAACTAGCTGATCCCGTGTACTTTGTTACCCGTTAAATGTACCAAATCTATACGACTTAAACTTTAAAATTTTCTTTGGTTTTAATTATATTAACGTTATTTATAAATTATTTCTGATTTCAACCAATATTTATTTTTATACTAGCTTTAAAACCCATGGCAACCATTTATAAACAAAAATATCCACCGTAAATCTCAACATTCCTATTTGAGCACCTACCCGGAATGGGCCTACCCGGTCCGATTGTGAATCTAAACCATTCAAAGGCCCACTCAACTACTCAAGCACACACAAAAAATTTCATCAAAATCGGTCCAGCCGTTTAGGAGGAGTTCACTTACAAACACACGTACAGTAGAATTATATATATAAAGATATAAATAGAAGATAATAATGACATTTTAATGAGCTGAATCACATGAATTAGTTCACTAAAATGAATTGAAATGAAAGTACCATCATTACCCGGTATGATGGTCGATTGATGATTATTATATTATCAGTTATCACATTATAATTTTTATAATGGAAGATAAGAAACTTGATTTTCACAAATAGTGATAACAAAATGAACGATTCTGATTGGTCGCGCCATTTTGCTCCCGAGACGCTCGTTGTTATTATGTCATGATCATCCTAACCTTAAATTACTAGACTAACTTCCAGACTCCGATGGTTGGGCGATGAGGCGATAGGCTCTCGACTGACCGCTTTAACTACAATACTTAGGTCCATTCATTAGTATAAGGCGTATGGTGGTATATCCTGTTGTTTGTACTCCACCTAAAGCGGTTAACACTAAAAATGAGTTTCTTCCGCAAGCTATTCGGATGCAAGAAAAAAGAAATAAAAGGTCCGTCAAGGTCGACCGAAGATGATGCGTTGGAAAAATTACGATCTACTGAACAGTTGTTGAGGGAATAAGTGAAGCCCTGAAAACAATATTGAAACAGAGCAATCTACAGTAAAAAGAGATGTTATAAAAAATAAACAAGGTAGATATTATAACTTACTTTAAATACATAGGTAATAATATTATTTCATAAATTAATTTAACGTTTTTAATTTTTTTCATTGCAGTAGCGTTGAATGCGTTAAATAGAAAAAAGCGTTACGAGCGACAGTTATCCCGGAATGAAAGTATGTTATTAAGTGTCATTAAACAACAGTCGGCTTTGGAAATTGCAAACACAAACAACATTGCGGTTGATTTAATGAGCTCGACTTCATACGCTGTTAAAATGGCTAATCAAAATGTGTAAGTGTTATCAATTTTAGATTTTTTGTGAATGAATTTTGACTGTATGTAAACTATAATAACAAATACTTTCTTATTTTAATTTCAAATATGCATTAAATGTTATGACTTTCATATTATTGGATCATAATATTTTAAGAAGGTAGGTACTCGAAAAAGCTTAAAAAAAATGGTCTAGCATTAATAATCACTAATCAGTTATAGAATGTGGTTATTTACCATAGATTTGTAATCCTAAGTACAAACAGTGTATACTGTTATTCAAATCACTGGCAATACCACATTTATAATTTTATTGCCTAGAGGCAAAATCATTTTGCCGGCCACCTAGGCACCTAGCCCATGCTCACCATAATTTTAATTTTTTTTAAATTTTTTTTTTATAAAAGTAAACAGTTTCTAATATATTTAATACACTTAGTTATTAATTTTTCAGTCGGTAAAGTATAATAATTCTTTGAAAAATTTTAAAATATTACTCATTAGTGAAAACTCTTTAACTAGAAAAAAACACAATAAAACAAATTTAAAGTTTATGCAGATATAGTTGAGTGGTGAATTTAAAACTAAGATTAACTAGTAGAAAAAATTAAAAACCAAATAAAAAGTTGATTGGGTATTTAATATTTGTATTTGAATAAAACATGAATAACATAAGGTCTGACTTAATAGATTCTACCAATGGAGGGCTAATAGATATGTCAAAAATTACTATTTATCATTAAATTATAACCAGTTTAATTTCATAATAGTTAGGTACCTATATGTTATTGTAGAAGGTACATCTAGGAAACTAGGAAAGTTAATCAATATTTTTAACTTGCAAAGTTAAGTTAATATGCATACATTTAAGTTATTTAAATTGGCTTTACTTTTTTTACTTTTAGAAGCTAAACGTTCAATAAAAAAAAAAAGTAATGTTCAACTAGTAAGTTAATATTTGGTCACCAGTTTTTTTATTCAATATTTACAGTTGATGCCTAAGTAAAAACAGCACATTTTATAAAAGTAATAATACGAACAAATATAGAAAGAAAATTAAATATAAAAATAGGTACCTAATTAATTGAAAAAAAGGTGCCCTGCTGTACAGTAGGTTACAAGTAGGTCACTGTATAATGGATTTTATTAAATTTGAATTCAATTATAATATAATATCATTGTATAAGAAAAACGATTCTGAGTGGAGACGATATGTCAGTCTAGGTATAAGACATATTATATACTTATCTATGGTATTAAAAAAAATTGACTTATAATAAAATCCAAATTAATCATATCACAATATTCATTAGGTACTTATAACGCGTTATACACAAACAATAATCCCTGATACTAGATATATAATAGTGTACTTTAGAAGTTTCAAGTACCCACGATAATATTTAGAAGAAAATATAAGCACTTTACTATCCTAAAAGGTGATGACAGACACAAAAATAAAAAAAAACACACATCATTGTTAAATCAATACATTCATCGTTCCACTCAGAATCTAAAATAACAGAAACAGATACCAACCAAATATAGAATCCTATCAACTGAAGTTGTTGATTAGTTAATTATTTGAGTCACCATGGCATCAACGTCTCTTTAAATGTCTAACTGAGTGATGTAATTGGGTTTTTGTTGAGAGATTTAACGTTAATGTTTATGTGTGTGATTGTAGTTTTTTATGGAAATTGAGTCAGAATCAAACACTTTTTTGGATCAACAATTTTGTATTTACAATACATATAAAATTATGATAATTTATAAATAATTTTCTGATTATTCATAATTATTTTGTACAAAACAAAATTTAATTTAAATTTAAGAGGTTCATTTGTAAAAAAAAAAAAAATAACTCAACTTGACTTTACAATAATTCAGCTTATTATCTAGTAACTGCATGGGAAAATTAAACTCATTAAGTTGGAAATTACTTATTAAAAAAATAACTTAGTTTAGAAAAAAACTTTTTAACAAGTTAATATCAGCCTTGTGTGTTACATACTTTAAAGTTAGGACTCATATTACTTTAATATTATTAACGAATAAAATCAATTTAATGTAACTATATATTTTATAATTTTGCTAGCCCTTAGTGCATAAATTTAAAATAAATGGTTCTTCTATATTATATTAAAAATCATTAATTCCCGTAAAAGAAAAATAAATATTATTTTTTCTTACAGCAACATAGATGATATTCATAATATGATTGATGATATAGAAACTTCAAAAGAATTAACTCAAGATATTACAGAAGCCATTTGTAATCCAACTAGATTGGAAACTGATATAGACGAGGTAAGAAAGGTTATTTTTGCTTAAAGATCATATAATAATAATTTTGAATAGATACTTGAATACTTTTTTCTAAATAAATAAATAATAATAATAATAAAAATATTGATAGTACTTTTTATAACATTTATAGTATATTTTAGAACGTTTACATTGAAGAGAAGAATCGTATAATAAATTATCTTACAGGAATTACTAGCTAATTTAAGCTATACATTATGTTTTCATTAGCAAACACACATATGTACTTATTGTACATTTTATATTCTGAGTTTAATGTATTGGTTTTACAATGACGTGTGTTTTATTATTATTATTTTTTATTGTCATGTATTATGTATACATGATAATTAGTTAAAATTATGATTAGGTTTTCATCTTCAGTATATTTTCTGATGGGAAATTGAATCTAATTGGTACTATAGAGAGGTCAAAATTGAAAATTCTACAAAAGTTACTAATAAAGCGTTGGTAAAAACAAAAAAAAAAATTAAGGAAAACTATTATTATAAAACATCAAGGCGGTTCAAATTAATGATTTTTTTTTAACTCAGTTAAGTTAAGTTAATATACGCTTTTTGTTAACTTTTTATTAAGTTAACCCAAAACTAAATTATAGACCTAAACTATAGTGTTTATACTTTATACAGTATTTCCATGTAAGTTAGATTCAATATATACATTTTTAACTTTACATATCAAGTATCATTGAAATATGTTCTACTTATTTTGGAGGCCTTTCTGTTAAAAAATGTATTAATATAACAAAGACAAATTGTTCGAATATGTCTGCAGGAACCTACTCTTGAATGTTCAACAAGTCATAACTTTAAATTATTTAAGGTATTAGGTAATGTAGATTTACTGTGTAAAAAAACTGCCATTTTATAGCTAAGTAAAAATATAGATAATTAGAGAATTATAAATAATGAAAAAACAAAAAAGAAACATTTAGCATGCAATGTTAAAGTGATATATTTAAAAAAATCTTTTGGGCAAAAATTTGTGGATAATGGGTCTACTTATTTTAATTCAATGCCTGTTATCATTAAAAAAAAATATTCTTACAGACAAACAAAAAATGTTAAAAATAACTATAAATAACTCTGGTTATTATTGTACTTACGATAGTTATACATATACCTATGTTTACAAGCAGTTATTATGTATTATTTTCTATTTTATTTGTATTTATATTATTTTGGAAGTAATTGTCACCTCTACCTTCAACACAAGTTGCATTTAGAGGTAGATAATCTCTTTGTTTATTATGTAATAACAATGGATAATAATAAAAAAAGGAATCTAAACAATTGGCGGTAAATATTTTTTGACATCAAAACTAAATAGATGGAAATAGTGAAATAAAATTAAAAACAAAATTAATTTACTTAATTTACTTCTTAAAATAAAAAAATTAATTCGTTATTTCACGTTAATTAATGAAGAAATTTAGTAGTTAACAGTTAAGTTAATGAAAAGCCAAAAGTAATTAGTTACAAGCCCAGTCTTGTAAAACATGTTATAATGCAACATAATTACTAAAAAAAAAATCAAAATAAATATAAATTTGTTTCTTCTCAGTACAATAACATTTGTCATTGAGATTGTAAGCCTCATGACTATAATCCAGTACTTTGCCACCTGGACCTGATCACGCTGGCCGACAGCCGAGTTCAAACAAACCTATCATTTTTGTCAAAATTCATTGATGGTCAAATTGACTTACCTAACCTACTAAAAAAGCATAATTTTAGAATCCCAGCTTTTAATTCTTGAAGTGTCTTTTCTTTTTTTATCCCCTTTGGTTCTGTAAGTTATTTGCAAAACAGTCTCTATCACAAATTATGAGATTAGCGAACGAGGATCCGTAGTTTCTATTGGGAGACTAAACCAGTTCCTATTTTTGTAATGTTGTTCGTTATATTGTTGTTATAATTTATACTGTTATAGTGTATTACTGACTTAAGTTTAAGATTCATATCTAAATTTGTATTGGGCTCATCCCGTTTCATATAAATAAATAAATAAGCACTAAATATAATTTATCTGAATACCATGTTAAAGATATGCAATTGTATTTTACCTATGTAATATTATAATTATTATCCATTGTTATTTAATACATTCAACCTTATTGTCTATTCGGTTATTATTAGTACAATTCAAACTACATTTAAAGTATTTGAAGATGTAGTTATTGATGACTATTTAATAAATAAACTGAACTATTATTTATATAGGAAGAATTACAAAAGGAATTAGAAAATCTTGAATTAGAAAAATTGGATGAACAATTAATGAATATTGATCCGGCGCAAGCTACAAGTTATCCAATACCAGTTGTGCCAAAAACCAAAAGTATTATTATTTGAAATTATTACGCTAAATATTATTTATTTTAATTCAACTTTTTTTTTTAGAAAATACAAACAGACTAAAGAATTCTATTATGACATAAAATAGTTATTTTATAAGTCTTCAAAAAACGTATGGATAATGTATGGATAATATTAGTGATTAGTTTAACATTGTGGCTTGTAATTTAAACATTTTTTTTTGCTAATAAACCAAGCAATATACAAAATCAATTTTTGTACTATAATTTAAATTACACATATCAATAAATATGAACTAATATTATATTTGTGTTCTTATTAAGAAATTTGTTGCTTATAATTCTACAAGTATTTTGTTTGGATATTTTACAATAAAATATAATATTTATATCACCTAATTTTTAGATCCTGACCAAAGGGATTTTATTTGTGTACCTATGTTATAACATTTTGAGCTGGTCATAAAATTTTGTAACGCTTCAAGAATCAGAATGATTCATGCATTTAAAGAGCATAAGTAAAAGTACTTTCCATTAAAAAGTCTTCAATGTTAGAGAATATCGCTTTTAGAAATGAAGTTCCAGTGTTGCCATAGATTTATTTTTGTAGAAGCTTAAAATTAAAATGATTTTCAAATCCAGGGTCTGAAATACTCATCTCAACAAATCGCCATAGTCATGTTTTCAAAAGTCCAATAGTAAAGTTCAAATGTACAGAACAAACAAAAATTTTAAATAATATAATGCCATACATTTTTACTCTTAAATAGAGACACCAACCGGACTGACTATTGAACATCTTATAAAACAGGATTCTTAGGCATTATTATATAATCCATGGGTGTTTAACAATATATTATTTCAAAACCTTAAATATAAATATAAATTATCTCATGACCATCTAGAATCATTTTCAATCATGTTCATAGAAGTGTATCAATCCAGCAGCTAGAAATTCTTATAAAAAATAACTATGCACCGTTGTAGAAAGTAATTTAGTGAAATGTAGAAGCATTAAGTCAAACTTGAATATTATACATGAAATACCATGTAAGCTAGATTCCTCGTATTTAGGTTTTCAGCGGCTTGAGCACTAGTTAGAATTTAGGAAAAAACGAACTTTCCGATACCGATTTAATGTAATCAGCATAGTATTTGCATAATTTAACATTATGTTTTATGTGAAGATAAACCATACAAGTGTAAACTCTCAATAGGAGCGGTACTGCTGTTATCTCCTATGCTACAGATATCGTTGCCTAGTGAGGGTGTAACCAGTCGGTGTTTAGTGGCTCAGACAACTTGTGCCGGTCTGAGTTTTATTTTATTTTATTTTATTTTATTTTACAATACGGGACGAACCCTTTAATACATGAATATAATAGTATAATAATAATAGTAATAATAGTTTGCTTTATGGAAACGAGGCTCAATTTAGAGTGAGAATGAAGGGTAAGTGTTGGCAATGCCCATAAGACGGATGATCGGTGAGTTAAGATAGTAGTTTGAGGAAGAGAAAGGAATATGAAATGGAACAGATGATCGTGTACGTCGAGAGGGGACATTAAATGAGACACGGGTTAGTGACTCAGGATTGTGAATTTTAGAGGAAAGAAGATTAGATAGAAATGTTAAGTTGGCTGAATGACGACGATCGGCGAGGCTTTCTGAGGAAAAATGGCGTTGGGTCGGCATGTAATCGTGAGGTGGACAGAATATGTTTAATTTGTAAGCAGCGTGATGGAGGAATTTTCTTTGAACCCTTTCTATCATGCTACGTGCAGAAGTGGTGGACGGGTCCCAGAAGATGGTACTGTTAAGAACCCCTGGCTATATTAGTTAGTATATATATATATATATATATAGTAGTGTATAATATAATATTGTACGACGGCGACTGTCTGGAATTGCTGCGACAGCAATTCCAGGCAAGCGCTGGCTACAGGCACGGCTCGTATAGCAAGCCGTGCCAGTGGCATTTCAGAGCAGTAGACGGAACATTGTGATTCGCGCCAGAACATTATTATTGTCAGACCATTTTTTTATAAAACATTAAATAATTCATTAAGTGTATTGTAAGTTTTTCTTTTCAAGTTAAATATAGAAAGTAACATATAGTTCGAAAGTGTTCGTTGTTTTTATTTGTGCACGGACCTCCAAGGAGATACGTAACATTTTTGGTGGCAGCGGTGGGATCACGACAAATATCAGTATCCCGTTACCACGAGCAATAGCCGAACTAGACTTTCAACAATATATTAGAAGAAAAGGAAACGAACAAAAGCGTATCCATCCGAAACAGAACATTGTACACAAAGTTGCGTAAGGTAACATTAATAGTATAAGATATTATTATTTTATAATATTTTATATATTTTATATACATCTATATGGTGTGTATATATACATTCAAACGGTTGCGTGTGAACGTGTCTCTATAAACGCGCGATCAGCAAATTCCCGGCGTGGTGTAATACATACATACGCCGTCGAAAAAAAAAAAAAATTGACGACAGGCAGCCGCCGTGTGTGTGTGGGCCCGGCGTACGTGTTGCCGCCGCCGTCGTGGTTGTGACGACATCCGTGTCGCCGCCGCCGACGTTTGAAAACAGACGACAACACAGCTGTTACGATAATACGATATCAGAGCCGCCGCGCGCCGCCCTCGTTGTTTATAAACACGATAGCGCCGCCGTAACGAATTTATATCAAAATATAACGATATATTTACGTTATTTAATCATCAAAGCGAAACCCAATAATTAATTATTGGTCCCCGCGCCAGCAGTTTCGGGGCGTAGAACATCGTTCCGAAGTGGTTAAGGTGTCGAAGAGGAAATTCGACGTGTTATTGTTCCGAGATCAATTCGACGTCATATACCAGAGCATTCAGCACCAATCACAACGACCAGGCGCAGACGAACACTGAACATTTCAATTCATTATCGTCGAACAATTGTGGTGGTCGTGAGTATTTAGCATTAAGTTTTCAGCTCTGTTTATATTTAAATATTTTTTTTTTACAAACATAGGATAATAAATTATTATACACCATATATAAACAGAAACCTATGGTAGGGAAAAAGTCTTTCTTTGTAAACACATGTTTCTCAGTGTTTTATTATACCGAATTCTTTTTTTTAAATATCTCTTTACGATTGGGAATAAACCTTTTATGAAACTCTTAGGCAAACTTTAATGAGCGCAAATTCGGGGGAGGATTCAACCACCAAGGGGGCTAACACGTCCGTTACTGATACCCCTACCCCTACACCAAGAGTAAGTTTACCTGTAAGGTGCTCCAATCCCGACAATCCAAATTCCGAGCGTCAAATACACGAACTTTCCGTCGACCATTTACTAATTAAGGAAGCGGATTTGACTGTAGCCACAAATAGTCTTTTAGCCGAAGTTAACGAAGAACTTAGGGAAATCGACAAAAGTTTAATTCACGTCGCCCTCGAAACCATTTCAACAGAAAATTCAGAAAATTCCCAAAACACAAAAAATTCTACAGACCAATCAAGAGAAACTTTTGGACTGGTCTTCAAACGACACAGTTGAATCGACAAACCAAGGAATTAAGCTTCTCGTAAATCAAAAAACATTGGAAATAATGGGAGATAAAAATCAACCAACAGGGAGTGGTGTACTAGGACCACAGTTGACGACAGACATTTCAAACAATCCAGATATAAGCCAATTAATTGATCTAAAGATTCAGGAAATCATGAGGACAAGAGATAGCGCCAGTTCGAGACATGGAGATTCGATATCTAATAATCAAATCGGACTTCAGGATGCGATTAGGCTATTACCAAAGTCATTCGATGGAAAAGACACCGAAAATTTAGATTTTTTCCTTGAAAAATGCGAATTTGTTGTGTCATGTGTAGTGGAACCGGCAATTCCACGACTGCTTCAGGCAATCCAAACCAGGTTAACCGGGAAAGCGAGGCAGGTAACAAAGTTTAAAACATTCGACACATGGGAAGAATTACGGGAAACACTTAAAACAAGTCTAGAACCCCAGCGAACCACACAACATCTATTTTTAGAATTGTACGCCATCAAACAAAAAAATGGTGAAGATATTCTGACCTACTCCATGAGAGTAGAAGCTTTACAAAATCTTATCATTGAACAGGAAACTGCAGACTTTTCACCAGAAATTGCACAAGCGATGGAAATTTCTATTAAGAGACAGGTAATTCAAGTCTTTATGGAAGGCTTGGGGAACCTAAAGGACTACATTAAGGCCAGAAACCCACTAACCTTAGATAAGGCCATACAAGCCGCCCGAGAGGAAGAACGGATTAGGATGTCATCCGAAGAATCCAAGAAACTTTACAAAGGAAACGCGGTGGCAACGAAAAAGCCAAATGGTTCTTGCAACATTTGCAATAAACCAGGACATTGGGCCCGCGATTGTAGATCCAACCGAGGTAACAACACAAATCAATCAAAAAATTCCAGCACGCCACACGGAACCTCCAAAGCCGCAGTGAACACCATCACGTGTCAGTACTGTAAAAAACCGGGGCACACAAAAGATGTATGCCGGAAATTAAAATATGTTACCGGAAAAAGGAATGAAGCAGCTCAAGCAGAGACTTCGGAAAACCAAAATCAACCGGGCGCTTCTGGCGGACGTCCGGTAGGGAGCATAAAAAGCGCCACCATATCATTTCCAGAATCTTCACATTAAAGTCAAATTTAACAGATAATACTTTTACATGCAGAACCTCTCAGACAATTAACCCCAATGCTAAATTTTTACTGGATTCAGGAAGTGATCTCAATCTAATTAAAATTTGTTCACTTTTGGATCAGGTAATGGTATACGAAGATACCATTTACTATTTAAAGGGCATCAACGAACAGTTAGTCCCAACATTAGGTCGGACGACTATAAGTATTCAAATTGGCGAGCGTATGATGCAAGTAGAATTTCAATTAGTACATTCCAACTTTCCCATTACACAAGATGGAATTTTAGGGAAACCCTTTATAATAGGGAACCATACGATTATTAATTATCAAACTAATGAATTAATAGTACCAGATACCGTTAACATGAAAATCCAAGCTCGAACAGAAACTTTGATCGCAATACCTATCAC